CCATGAGACTGGTGGGTGGCCAGTGTCCCGTCCCTTCCTGCCCCTGCCCTCCAACATACTTTCCCAAGGACCAGGAGGCAGATTCCTCGCTCCAGGACTGACACGATCATCCTCCCATACTCCAGAATTCACATTTTCTAGCCTTAAAATGGAATCAGTTGGCCTGGCGCCGTGGCTCAAGCCTGTAACCCCAGCACTTTGGGAGGCCAAGGTGAGAGGACTGCCAGAGCCCAGGCATTTGAGACTAGCCCGGGCCACCTGGCGAGACCTTGTCTCTATAATAAAAAAATTTTTAAAAACCGGGAGTGGTAGCGCGTGCCTGTAGTTCCGGCTACTTGGAAGGCTGAGGTGGAAGGATCGCCGGAGCCCAGCAGGGCAAGGCTGTGGCCAGGAGCGTCTTCGTTTTTTTCCTGATGGAGAAATCCAGGTGCCAGAGGGGTGAAGTTATACCTCCAGTTAAAGACTGACTGACTGGGCATAAGTTAAGGCATTGGTCTCTTAGCAAGACCCCAGGATGTCACTGGGAGTATGTAATGGCTGTGATGAGGAATAATACTTATGTCCTGGTATCCCCCAGCACTTTAAGTATTCGTTGTTGTTTGTATATATGTTTTAACAGGGGGAAAGTAAAAAGTCACCAAGCTTAACACCAAACCAAACTGTACCACAGCACTCTCACTCTTTGCTGAATTGGTGTCTCAGTCAATATCTGTCTCTGTCTCTCACTCACTGTCCTTCCTCCTGCGTCTACATACATATCTGCTATGTGCTGTTCTGTCATCTGTTTCGTATAAGTCCAGGATGTTGTGTGTGTCAACACGTAAGATGGTTTACCTGTGTTTTAGTGGTCATGGAATATTCCATTTTTGCTTACTTCCCTATATTTGGTTATCTCTCTCTCTCTCTCTCTCTCTCTCTCTCTCTCTCTCTCTGTTTGCTTGCCATTATAAGCAGTGCTAAAGTGAGTATATTTCCACATGCACATTTTCATTCCCAGTTGATTGTTTCCGAGGTAAATTTCTAGAAGTAGAACTGCTTGGTCAGGGGATGAGCACATTCATATTGTCCGCCTCTTCAATGGCACTCTTAACAACAGTCCGTATTCTGCTTCATTTAAAGAAAAGAGGTATATACGTCACTTTATGTGAAAGATACAGGCCCTGAACAGCAATGGTTTTAATAATTATAGCTCAGATCATTTTAAAGGCTTACCGTTTAAAGGAATCCTCATGGTAGAGAAACATTGTTTTGAAAGGTGAACACTGCATTCCTATGTATTCGTTCTGAAGACCAGAATGCCTTCCACAGTGCCTTCTAGAGGGTTCTGAAGGAGAGTTGTCGATAGCCTGAAGTGTGAACCTGCCTTGTAACTGAGACAAGGGTATGGGCCAAAGAGGTTTGCTGTGTTAATGCTGCTTCATGGTTGCTTGGAAAAGAATTGTTAGCAGGATATGCCACTGATGTTTGTGCCCGTGGTGGCCATTAATGTGTGTCCGACATTCAACAGCGGCTTGTCCCAGGGACTTTATCATGAGTCGTGGTTTTCTTCATGATTGTGAGATTTAAGCATATGGTTTTGTTCTTTTCTAGAAAAGCCCACTCTATTCTCGAGCCCAGAGCAGAAGAGCCCAGACATGGGGCCTGAAACCACTGCCCCTTTGTATCACTTTTCCTAGTCCAAACGTGAAACTCTTTCAGCTTAAGTCTGCAGAGTTGCACCGTAACTCTTATCTAAGTTTGACTTTGCCCAGAGTTGTCTGGTCGTGTTCTAGCCAGGATGTAAAAGGTTCCCTGCTGTGGGTAGATGAGTTCTTTAAGAATTCTCGGGTCCTTTTTTGCAGTACAGCCCAGGCCCGTTAAAGCACCCTCTTGTGCTGTGATTTTAACTTTGCCTTTTGTTCTGACCGTCCTTGTGCTGCGAAAGATGAGAAAGCAGTGCTGGGTGTTCAGTGAACCCCCGCTGAGCAACAGCCACCCTCAGACTCAGCGCGGGATGCTGGCAGGCGCCCACCTCACTCTGAGCTGCACACCTGGAGGGCCGTGCCTCAGGTGCATGCCTGGCAGACGGGGGCACAGAGAGTGATGCTGACAGGAAGAAAGCACATCTCACCTCAAGAAGACTTGTTTTGTTTCCAGCAACACTCGCCGGGCAGCAGAAGTCTGGATGGATGAATACAAGAATTTCTATTACGCAGCAGTGCCTTCTGCCAGAAACGTTCCTTACGGCAAGTAAGTGGCAGCCTTGTCCCCTGCACCTTCTGGGGTTCCCTGGGGGTAAGGGGTGGGAGGGGGAGGGCTGCTGCCAGAGTTGACAGCAGCTGCCGGGCGTCAGCAGGTGCCTCTGCTCAAGGCGGGATGGGATCCCGGGCACAGGAGCTTGGACAGCCCGCACTCTGCTGCCGGCCCCAACCCTGTTCTCCTGGGCGGATCTCCAGGTTTGGCGCAGAGAGTGCGTCTCTTCCTGCCGTTTCTGAAGGAACCTTATTTCCCTCTCCTCCAGTATCCAGAGCAGATTGGAGCTCAGGAAGAAGCTTAGCTGCAAGCCTTTCAAATGGTACCTTGAGAATGTCTATCCAGAGCTAAGGTAAGGCCCAAGGACCTGGGCTTTCACTTTGGAAGGGCTTAGAAGCAAGGAGGGTCAGAGAGGCAGCAGAGGCCTCGAGGGGGGAGCTGGAGCTTGTGCTGGGGGCAGGAGGCCCAAGCTGGGGCTCTCCATGCAAGCTCGCATCCTACCCCACACCTGTCCTTGAGCACCTTGAGAGGTGCTCCAAGCCTCAGCTGGCTGCACGCCCTGCAGTGACCGTCCCATTCCTCCCAGACCTAGGAGTGCTCCCAAGGTGTCACCGCATCTCAGCCGGTTCTTCCCCGCTGGAAAGATGGCCCAGAGGGCTGGGGTCTGACAGGCCCTCCTGTGGTGGGAGGAACAGGCCCGGCCTCCGAGAGCATGTGCTCTGTGCTGCCTGCCCTGATCCTGCCCTCCTTGGTGAGCATTGGAGGCAGCGGGCCTGGGCCAGCTGGGGAAGAGACGGAAGGGGACATCAGCCCTGTCACCTCCCAGTTGGTTCAGGGGATGCTGCCGTCCCTCCCCTGGGCTGCAGGTCGTGGCCCCCCGCAGAGGCTTGGAGCATGGGGACCTGACCACATGCCTCCCCGCTCCCCGGCTGGAACTAATAATGTCAGCGCCTTGCTTGCTTTCAGAAGATTGGAGATGACGGAAACCCTCTTTCCGAGCCGCGTTTCCACGTCCCACCTCTTACGTTAAGCGAATGCAGGCCTTGTCCTGAGGACCCACTGTCACCTCGCCAGAAGACCTGAGGTCTGCTGGCTTCACAGACCCTCCGAACTTCATCTTCTTAAATGGACTGTCAGGCAGGCTGCGCCTTAATGTGGCCCATTCCTTATTCTAAGTATTCCCGGAGCATTTCCGGCAATTCACATGTCTCCAGCACAGCGACTGTGAAGGCGAGACTTGCCACCGTTATCTCTCTGCTGATGGCTCCTCCAGCGCCCTTGTCACTGAGATTTGTTGGAGACTTCGGAACTGTTTCCTCTGCTTTTAAAGTGATAGGCGAGACTCAGTGGCTCGTGCCCCCGGGAGCTGGGGGTGCTGGGGGGGGTGCCATCCTCCTTTTGATCCTTTCCATGAAGGATGACTTTCACTGGGGATTCAGGTCGCCAGTGAAAAGCCCCTGGTCATGGTCTCTCCACCAGCCACGCAGGGGCTTCACTGCAATGGGTTTTGTTCCCTTGATGGTCCTCGCTTTGCCTTTGCGGTCACTGTCAGCTGTGACTTGGCAGTAAGGGTGCCAGACAGAGCGGCATCAAATGTAGTTTCCCACCGAAGTCCCCCATGATTTGGGGTGACACTGGGCCCTGCCCACACTTAAGATTGCATCTAAGACATTTGGCACCGTGCCACATGATAAATCTGCCTCTCCTGTTTGTGCAGGGCAAGGGAGATGCCAGTTTTATTTTTTGCTTGTTTGCCTTTTAGAGACGGGGTCTCACTCCGCTGCTCAGACTTTAGTGCAGTGACATGGTCGTAGCTCACTGCAGCCTCAAATTCCTCCTGGCCTCAAGCCATCCTCTCAACTCAGCCTCCCAGAGAGCTGGGATCATAGGTGTGAGCCACCACGCCTGGCCCACTTTCATATTTTCATGTGTCTGTCATCATCACTGGCATTTACTGAGTGCTTTCTGTGCACCAGGCACTGGGCTAGCATCTTCATTTGATTTTAGCCAAGAGGCTGGGAAGCGGCTGGGCTCAATGTTGCACAGAAGGTGCTTTGTGTAATACCTGCAGCAGTTCTGTTTTTAGGAATTGTAGAAGAGAGCCAGCTGAGGCTTGGGGAAAGTGAGACTCACCCGAAAGGCCGCAGGGTAGGGCAGAGGTACGGCTGAGGTTTGGTTCTGATTCTGAAGCATATTGCTCTCACCCGAGCTCTGTTGCTTGGTTCAGATCAGGCCACCTGAAAAGTCCACTCGTTTTCCCTTTACTAGGTGAAGGTTGGGCCCTAAGTTTATTGGACAGTTCGAGGCAACAGGAACTGACCACACTGATTTTCAGATGCCTTCCAGACTAACGTTACAGATTTCCCTTTCTGATACAGAATCTGTCTCCAACTTAAGATCTTCAAGTGTGAGAAACCCAGAGTCTGGGAGAATGCTGTGTCCTTGACACACCCTGGCTGTGGTAGGAAGGGTCCCAAGGCCTGGTCACCGGCACCAGTTCTTGCTCTTGTTCCTGCCGCCTGGGATGAAGCCATGAGCACAGGGGTTGGCAGACAGGGCCCGGTGTCATGCAGAACTGAGCAGGCAGTTCTCACATTGCTTTTCAGGGTTCCAGACCATCAGGATATCGCTTTTGGGGCCTTGCAGCAGGGAACCAACTGCCTCGACACTTTGGGACATTTTGCTGATGGCGTGGTTGGGGTCTATGAGTGTCACAATGCCGGGGGAAACCAGGTAGGTGTGTGAGGGAGCCCAAGGGCCTCTGGGCCCAGAGAGAGCAGGAACGGGGGCCTGAGGTTGGAAGTCCCGAGTGCCCTCTTTGTCCGGGGGTGGGGGATGTCTGTGAGGGAGCGCCTGGCTCCTTCTGGCCAAGACTCTTTGGCATCTAGCCTCAGGGTCAGATGAGACATTGCTGGCCTGGACCGGTTCAGCGAGCCTGCCGTTGGCTTCAGGCTGGAACCTGCTGCCGTGGCAGAGGGTGTACTGGTCAGAGTTGACAGGCCAGGGCTGGTGGCCTGGGTCTTCCGGCCAGCTCTGTCCTCCCTGCCGGGGTGCTCACCCCCAAAGCGCCCTTTGCGCATCTGCATCTGGTCTCTGAATGTGACATAAACATCTGCCTGGTGTTCTTATTTCCTAGGTGCTTAACCATGGGCACCAAGGGCATTATGTTGCTGTTGTCCCCTGCCCTGCTAATTGTTTTGTTTGGATATACACACGCTGCTTCCTAGAGGCACAAAACCTGCCACCTTCTTCCATCACGGCAATGGGAGACACAGCCAAGGCTCAATGGACCCAGCCGTGACCTGCGAGATCCAATGGCAGTTTTCCCACAAGATAACAGGGATGGGGTAAACGTGACCGTCGTGCACAAAGGAGCTTGGGCGGTGCTGTGTACTCTTATCCCCTTCTCAAAAACCTGCCGGGCACCAAGGCAGCCTGCAGTTTAGAAAAGAAGAACACAAGAAAGCAGCTCAACCCTAGGTATCTCAGATGTTCTGATCCCACGGCATCCTCTCACTAGAAGTATTTCCGAAGGTGGTGCCTACCTTGTGTAAGGCTGGCTGTTCCCCGTCCTCCCGGGGGCGGCCAGGCAGATCCCTGTCCCCAAATTCTTGGGCTCCTTTCTTTACTTGGTGATGTTGCTTTACCGGTTGCTTGCCATGGCCTGGACATCCTACATACGACTGGGAACCTGCCCACCCTGGGGCTTGACTGAACCAATCCCCAGCTGGCCCAGGGCCTGGAGCAGGTGTCCGGGGCCTGGCCCAGCTTCCCCCAGCACAGGCGTGCCGTTCCCAGGCTCCGGGGAAAGAGAGTGCCAGTGAGAGGGAAAGAGCCCACCAGCACGTGTGGGCAGGGGCCGAGGGGAAAGGACCATCCTCCCGTGTGCGTTTCCACGTCTTTGGCAGCGCCTCCGCCCAAGCCCTGGTGTTAAATTTGGTTTTCACTCCCAGCGGGGAAGTCGAAAGGCCCAGGTGACATCCTCGGGTCTCGCACAACCGGCGGCAGTGCCAGCCCATGCTGTGGTGTTGCCGCTCTCGTTCTGGTGCAGGGTCAGTGGGCTCTGTTCTTTTGCACTCATCATCTGTGCATTCCTTGTGGCCATTTGAGCCTCCTGGTTGAGGTGGGAAGGCTCTGAGCACAGGGGGAGGTTCTGCCTCAGTTTCCATCCGTGCCCGTAACGAAAGTCAGCAAGGCGACCTCGGACAGCAAAGCTTCATGAGGAAGAAGAACGAAGGGGAAGGACGGATGTGTCCTCAGGGTGTGGCCGCAACTTGAAAGCAGAGCTCACCACGGCAGGCAGGCAGGCATTGGGGCCACTCAGAGGAGCTGGGTGGAGCCTGCCCTTGATCTGCAGGTTGTAAAACGGAGGAGGTGATGCCCAGCTTCTGTGCTGTCCTGGTTTCCAGGCTTTCTGTTATGGCTTGCCTCCACAGGCCTCCACATCCAATCTCGGGGGTTCCCTCTGTCACCCTGGCCATGTTCTGAGGATTCCATGGAAGTGGGAGGGGCCATTCCTTTCTATTTCAGTGGCTCTACTGGAAAGTGAGGTCTTCGCCACAGAGCATTTAGAAAAAAGTGTGTGTCCGGGCTTCTCCAGAGGATTTCCTGATCAGAGGCACCTGGTCTGCGTCTTCTCTGGCTGGCTTGTCCCCACTTGGTGTCACCCCTTCGTTGACTATACAGCTGACAGCACCAGAGTCCAGCCCTGCTGGTGGCGGCTGGCCAGCAGGAATCGGAGGCTTTGCGTGCACTGCCGTTGGCTGTGGCTGCCCTTCCCCTTCCCCAGGGAAAAGTCTGTGTCCTGCCTTTGGGATATATGGCTGTGGCACTGGCTCCCCAGGCCTTTCCTGGGTGCTGAGCAGAGGGAACTGAGACACAGCCATGGCCCGACCTTGGTCTGACACAGGACCTCAGCGCCTGTCTGTGTCACCCAGGCTCCAGGGCTGCCACAAGGAATAAAAGGGTTTTCCTTGCTTCCCCCTCTGGTTTTGCTTTTTCTCGTTGCTCCTGTGCAGGTATGACTGTTCTTACATGGGGCTTCCTTTTTAGCAAACCAGTTAGCCTCTGGTTTCCGGCTGACTGCCTGCTGTGTCCACCCAAGGGTGGTCACTCCCTGCGCACTCTCAGCCCCCATCAGTGACCTCATTCTAGAGTCACCAGAGAGTGTTTACAGAATACTGACTCCAGGTTCCTTGCCCAGAAAGCCTGACTTAATTCATCTGGTCGGAGGGTGGGCACCAGGGCTTTAGAGCTCCCAAGTGGCCCTCCGTGAGAAGCTGAGCGGTGAGTGAGGTGATATCTTGCCTGGAACACCTCAGCCCACAACAGCCTGGGTCCAGTGGGCTGCTTTCTAATCAGTGCTGGCAAGTACAGCCATGTGCCATGATGAGAATGCCGTGCACCTGCACTGTCCGGTATGGTAGCCACAAGTGGCTACTGAACACTTGGACTAGGACTGGTGTGAATTGAATGTTTTATTTCACTTAGTTTTACTGGCTGCGAATTGCCCCGAGGGCCAGGGGCTAGCATGTTAGCCTGCAATTCTGGAGGCAGCAGGAGGCCAGAGATCCCCTTACAGCTGTGCAGATGTGGCAGCTCAAAGCCCACCCTGAGTAAGTCCCCTCCGGACGCATAGCAGGTGATGCGCTTTGGGTGGTGTGCCACATGGGTGAGAGGCCAGAGGGTAAGTAATGTTTCCTAACTGAAAATAGGGCACGGCACTCTGGGAAAGTAGGGCTGTTATCTGGTTTCTGGCTGAGCCTCAGCAGACACAAAGAAAACGGGGAAATTAATGGCCATGCTTTTTCAGAGTGGCAGCTCAAAAGAGCACTTCTTAAATATTTATGAGCTTTATTTTACACATTTAGATAATTGAAATGCAATAAAACAAGGCAGCAAATAGCTCTACTGTTTGCATAGCTGAATTCCTTTTTCTGGAATTCTGTGTAAAGTCTGCTTTAAAATAATTAAGCACACAATAGCCAGAAGGCTGTAGAACCATTTAGATGTGATCTTTAACAGGATGCCTGCAGGCCCTGCAGCATCTCCCAACACCTGCTGCCAAGGACCATCGAGACCCCTTCTCCTCTCCTGTTAACCGCAGATAGGTCTCTCTGTGGGCTGTAGTTCCACGTGTCCCGGCAGTGTGGTCAGCACCGTGGGTGCGTGACAGGACCAAGGACACGCTTCTTCCTGCACCTCTTTGTCCTGAATGCCGTCTGTATCTAGGAGGACACACATGGTTTCCTCCCTGCACTCAACACTTTCAGCCCCTTCGTGGCCAAATGAGTAGGGGAAAGAATGGACTGGCGTTCCTCTTCCTGTGCTCACACAGAACGTTGTGCTCCGACACCAGGTCTGGAGGCCTCTCCCCACACCAAGCAGTTCTCCACGCCTCTGCGGAAACCCACTGGGTGTCTTCCTACCACTCGATCAGTCTCTGATACCCTCTACCTGGAGTTAGCGCACACCCCGTGGGTTAAAGGCTCTGTCCCACAAGATGCGCCCACTTCCAACCCGGCTGTCACCTGTGCTTCTGACCAGCTGACTGTAAATCAGTGTTCCCATGATCCCCCCTTGGGTTTACTCATTTGCAAGATCAGTCTGTAGAACTCGGGGAAACTGTTTGCCTACTACATGGCCTGTTTTTTATAAAAGAGTGAGACTCAGTAACAGCTGGATAGAATCGGTGAAGAGCACACGGGGTGCGAGTGGGCTGGGGTCACGGTGTTTCCAAGCCCTCTCCAGGTGGCCGCCCTCCCAGCACTCTCAAGTATTCAGCAACCTGCAAGGCTTCCAAAGAAGTTCAGGGGTTTTTACAGTGGCTTCATCGCATACACATGATCGATTATTAACTCGGGCTCCAGCCCTCCCCACTTTCTGGAGGGTGGGCTTGGCTTGGGACTGACAGTTCTAAGCTTCTAATCATGACTTGGACTTTTAGGTGACCAGCCCGATCCAAGAGCCCACCAAGAGTCACCTCCTTAGAGCAAAAAGGCTCCTATCACCCAGGAAATTCCAAGAGATAGGGTTCGGTGTCCGGAACCAAGGTCAGAAACCAAGAGTTAGGGCAAAAGATGCCCCTAGCACCCCTGTGGCTCAGGAAATGACAAGGGATTGGGGAGTGTGGTTGTGCCAGAACCAGGAGCGGGGACCAGATACGTGTTTTCGGTTGCCTCATTCTACCTTCAAGTACTGAGTGCCGTGTGTGCCTTATGGGATGCTGTGAGGAGTGATAGCATCAGAGAACGGGTGTGGGTGGCCCCGAGAGAATGTGGCTGGCAAGGGGCAGCCAGTGAGGAGAGGGCAAAGGCTCCGAACACATGCTCAGCTGGGACCTGCCAGCACACAGGCCAAGCAGGTGTTGCTCTCTAGGACTTTGCAGAGCCTTTCAAGGCTGTGAACTTTCTTTTCTTTTTTTTTTTTGAGTTGGAATCTCACTCGGTCTCCCAGACTAGAGTGCAGTGGCCGCTCTCAGCCACCGCAGTCTCGCCGGCTGGGCTCCGGCGATCCTTCCGCCTCAGCCTTCCGCGCTACCACACCTGGCTGATTTTTTGATTTATTGTAGAGATGAGGTCTCGCTGCCCAGGTGGGTCTCGAACCCGCGGGCTCAGGCAGTCCACTCACCTCAGCCTCCCAAAGGCGCGGGATGACAGGCTGAGCCACCAAGCCCGGCTGGCTGTGAACTTTCAAGTGAGAACCATGGCACACGTTCAGCATCACCCAAATTTAGTTGACCTAGAACAAGGTTTTCCTAGAATTCCTCACAGAGGGAAATTGGAGAAACACTCATGAAAAGGTGAGGCAACAGGAGCCTAGGGAAGTGAGGAGGTTTGCCCGCGCCTCCCTCCCTGCTGGGAGGAGAGGAAACCCTCAGATGGGCGGAGGTCACGCTGGATCCTGGTGGGCTCTTGCATTGGGCTGGTCACCTCAAAGTCCAGTCCCCGGGCCTCCTCTCCTTCCCGACTCCTCCGAGAGTGGGGACAGTGGTTGTGTGAGGTCTGGACCCTGGAGTCTTCAGGTGTTAAAGTTTTTCTCATAGCAGATGATATGTTCCCACATTTGGTCCTAGACAGTGAGGCTCTTTTAAAGATTATTTATTCCTGTTCTTACCTCTGTCCCCTGAGAACAGGAAAAAGAAAAGCAATGTTTCCATAACACTTAAGAGTGCCTGCAGATACAGAATATATTTATTTGTGTGTCATTCATTTCCCCACAAGGAAGCGAGCCTGGCATCGTGAGAACACCTCAGTCGTGCAGGTGTGCAGCAGGTGGTCACTGGCTGGACAGACAGAAAGTAGGGGGGCGAGGGGGAGGAGTCACAGCAGCCTGCCTGGGCTGAGATTGGAAAGGTGGATGGAGGGGGTGGCATGACCCCATGGGATTCTGAGTTGGAAGAGGCCTCACTGCTTCTAGGCCCTCGAAGGGCTTCCGTGGGCATGGATCCCTTCGAATGGGTCACGTGGGAGAGGGTGGCTGGAAGCCTGACCTTCCTGTCCCTGTCGTGGCCTTGCCCTGTGGCCGCACTGAGCCCTTGCTCTGTTGTGGCCGTCCCGCCCTTTCTCATCATCTTGTTTAGTATCCAGAGTGGCTGTGTCCTCTCAACCCTGTCTCAGCCCTTGTGTGTCCATGCATACATATATGTGCGTGTTTATATATTTTTTAATCATAGGCAAGTTATCTAGACATCTCCGGCTCCGTTTTCTCACCTGTGAGATGAGAATAATAATAGCCCTTCGTGGAGCTGTGGTATAAAAGGCTTAAAATAGTGCTTGGCACGTGGCGCCCTATGAAATTTAGCTGTGGCATGTATGTACAGAAATACAGAGATCCCGTTCCTCCAGTTTTCAGAGAACATCACAAGCGTCTGTAGATCAACTCACTGCTCAGTTACAAGGCCACACACACTTGTTTTGCTTAAGTGCATAATATGTCATTTGTAATTTTCACACATTACAATCCACGAACGATGCTAGGTCCTGACCACACTGGCATGGTGCAGAGTCATTCCAAAGTGATGCAGGTGGGCTGGTTACCCCTGACTGTCTGCCTGGTGGATAACCAAGTTCGGGCCACAGTTTTTTACAACTCACATTTGATTATAGAAAAATGGACATGGCGCTCTGGCTTTGGGTGCTCTGACTTATGCCTTGATTTGAAGCTAAAACGGGTTTATTATGGTCACACAGCCCTCCACTCAGGCTGGAGTGTGGGTCCTCTCAGCACCTTCCATGGATATATTTGCCCTCAGGCCAGACAGCCTGTGTTGGTTCTGGGTTGGCTCAGGGGTTCTGGATCGAAGCTCCCCAACGTGGCCCATTTTGCGCTGGACCTTTGCCGACGTCCCTTCCTTGGTGCGCCTCTGACTTGAGGTCCTGTGTTTCAGGAGTGGGCCTTGACAAAGGAGAAGTCAGTGAAGCACATGGACTTGTGCCTTACGGCGGTGGACCGGGCACCGGGCTCGCTCATAAAGCTGCAGGGCTGCCGAGAAAACGACAGCAGACAGGTAATGACTCGACTCAGCAGGGCGGCTCATTCCACGGCAGCATGCACGCCGTGCTCATGTGTGGCACTGTCTTGAGTCCTACCCAGCTGCCCCGTTCCACTTAAGCCAGAGGCCCAACATTGCCTATTTCCGGTTTTAAAGGGAAGTTACATGCTTTATTCAATGTTTTTGCTCTTTTAGGTTTACAAGAATTCTAAACGATTAAAGTTCAAATGAATGAGACTTTCAGCCCACACACATGCAGGTGTGTGTGTGGACCTTCTCCACACAGTTCAGAATGTATGTTACACCTTGCAAGCTGATTTTTCTCTGCTGTATTTCCTGGTGGAAGCTTGTAGCCACGCCCTTTCTCAGTTCCTGGGGTACTGGTTGTCAGGAACGGACCTGCAAGCTCAAAAAGGCCTTCCGACATGCCCATCCGTGGAGTGCTGGCTTCTCTTACCATCCCTCCTTAAGAGATAGATAGAAGGATGTAGGGAAACTGAGGCATGGAGCCAGGAGCCTAAGCAGGCTCCTAGTCCAACACTAATTTCAGAAAAGGGGAAGCGGAGGCCCAGAGTCACCTGGGAGGACCGAGGCCAAGACCAATTGTCAGGAAGATGTTTGCAGAAGGCCCTCTTCCATCTGTCCGTCTGGGAGCCTCCATGCCCATCTCTGGGCACCTCCTCCCTCCCTCCCCTGCAGGACCCCAGCCTATCCCGGCAGTTGTACCCTTCCCCCTCAGACCCCAGCCACCCAGAACTCAGCAAGGCTGGCGTCTGCTGAGCCAAGTATTAGGCGATCCCGGCCCTCCTCAAGCTCTTTGCCCTGGGATAGAACAGGGCAGAGATGCCTCTCGATGTAAATGAGCAGATACTTCTCTCTCATTTTGAGAGCAGATACTTGCTCCTGCTTCAGTCTGGGTCCTCGCGAACCAGAGCTGCGACCCCCTTCAGGCCCCTGTGAGACGTGAAAAAACAAACAGTAAGGTTTTCGGGATGCAAGGTAGACATGAAGATTCGTTCAGTTTTAAGCCCCACGTCTCAGCCTGCTACAGAGGATGTTGGGTGGGGTTCATGAAGGGTCTGGCCCTCTCAGAAATCCACCCAGCCCATCCACAGCCCTATCAGACAGGTCTGCACTGACGAGGCCACCTCCCGGAGCTGTGGTTGGTCATTTTTTTAAGGCCCCACGTTTAGTTATTGCTTTGGCACATGACAGACAGCGTCCCCCCAGAATCAGATTCCGTTCCCTCTGCACTCTTTGTTGAGAAGAAGCGCTCAGAGTGGCAAGGCTGCCTCAATATACACTTTACATGACAAGGAGCAAGACTATGGACAGCCACCAGGGAGCCAGAAATGAAGGAGAGTCTCCCCCTCAGAGCTGGTTGGTGGCGTCGCCTTGTCCGCAGGCAAGAGCTCCCGGGAGCAGCTGACGGGCCCGGGACCGCAGGGCCAGGGGCAGACGTGTGGATGGTCGGTCCCGACCCTGGAAGGAGCCCCCGCTCTTTCACTCCTCCCTGCCTCCCTCCTCTGCTGCTCGCAGGAGGCCCCTTCACAGGCCCGTCTTGCCTGTTGGAACCTTCGGTTTCTGGGCACGTCTGTGTGTCCGTATTATGTGCGCATTTGCGGCGTCAAAGGGGCCAGGGAGGCAAGAGTGAGAACATTTAACTGCGGCGTCAGAAGGATTTGCAGAGATACTTACGTGAAAGAGCTTGAGTGCACACCGTGCAAAAACTTAGTTAGAGACACAGACTACGTTACTGAAAGAACTTTTGAGAGGAAAAAAAATTTTTTTAAGAGCAAACCTTCGCGATTTTTTAATGGAGATATTCGCGTTGCTTGCCGAACAGCAGGGCGAGGAGTCCTCAGACTCCCCTCAGGCTGCGTCCTGGGCTCTGTCCCCGGGTGGTGGGTGGGTCGGCCCAAGGACACGTCTCCCTCCTGGCCCGATCAGCGCCTGCAGCCGGTCTGTCGCGGCCGTCCCAGCCTCTCTTCCTGGAGCATCCAGGGCGGAGGGAGCACAGGCTGCGTGTCTGAGGTCGGCCGCCGGGCTGCCCCGGGTGTGCGCGCCCCCGCTCAGGTGCTCTCCTGTCTCTTGCAGAAGTGGGAGCAGATCGAGGGCAACTCCAAGCTGCGGCACGTGGGCAGCAACCTGTGCCTGGACAGCCGCACGGCCAAGAGCGGGGGCCTGACCGTGGAGGTGTGCGGCCCCGCCCTCTCGCAGCAGTGGAAGTTCTCGCTCAACCTGCAGCAGTAGGAGGCCGGGAGGCCCCGCAGCCGGCCCCTGCCTGCCAGGCGGAGTGCAGCCACCCCATTATGGTTATGTTTCTTAAACTTTCCGCGAAACTATATACCTCAGTATTCCATCACGGTCTGAAGGTCGGAGGACGTCAGCGAGGCGTGGACTGCCGTCACCGCCGCGGGAGGGGGCCGGGCTGCCCCTTCCTTCCAGCCTCGTCTCCTGCGGGCTCCGCGCCCAGGACATCCTGGCGGCGGCCGAGGGCCGGCGGGGAAGCCACCGGTCCGTGCGTGCTGGAGGCCGGGGGGAGGAGGGCCGGGGGTCCCGGCACAGAAGGAGAGCCCTCGCGGCCTTCGCCTTTGCTCCCGGGAAGTCACGCCTGGTTTCCACAGAGCCGAGTCGTGTCCCGCGGCAGGCTCACGTCGATGGCCCCTCTGGGCGCCGGCGCGCCCGGCTGTCTTCCCGGCCCACGCTCCCCGCACCTGATGTACTTGCGAGATTGGAACTTGGACTTTTCAGTGGTGGACACTAAACACAGATCTATAGAAAGCCTGTACGGTCAGTCCCCTCTGGTTTCTGTAGGTCGCCCCCTCGTGTCCGTTCCCCACAGAGCCGTCCACAGCCATGCGGTGGGGCTGGAGCCCCTGGGGCGGGCTCTCACGGGGCAGGGGGAGCGTGGCCTCCTCTGTCCCTGGAGGCTGGTCAGCTCATAGGTGCTGCTGTGGCCAGCCACACGCGGGCTTCCCCGGACCGCCAGCCTCGGCCTTGGGCGTCTCTGTGGGGCTTCGCCGTGGGAGTTGGGCTGTGTGTTGGGATCCACTTGGCGTGCCAGTGGCCTCTGTGAACCTAGATGGGTTACTTACGTTGACAGAGATTGCTTTGGGTCTTTTTACATTAAATTTAGTTTCTCTGAGAAAGAAAAACATGTCCTAGCTCCCAGAGCAAGCTGGCAGTACTGCTGCTCCCCGGGACAGAGCAGACCGATGACGCTAGGTGGCTGTCGCACGCCGGCACCCGGCCATCGCGATGTGTGCCCCTGCGTGCTGGGCCTTCAGAATCAACCGAGCCACAGGGCGCGAGGGCCGAGCCTCAGGACAGAGCTGCTCCCGGCCTGCGTCGCGGGGCCTCGTGTGCTCCAGCCGAGCAGCGAGTCCCGTCACTCCCCGTCACTCCACTCCCCCCGGCAAAGGTGAACCCAGAGGGCTTGGGGTACGGAGCTAAGAAGGGTCCGACCGACCCATGCCTGCTCGTGGACATTGAGGATTCAGGGCCAGAGAAGGAGCCCGTGATCCCCTGCAAACCACAGACAGCCGTGAAGTGAACACCAGAGTGAGAGGAGAGGCCTTGGTGTCTGCCTCGGGGGGCAGGAATGCTGCCGGAGCCCCGCCTTTCGAGGCCGACGCAAGACACAGTGACAGGCTGGCCCCCGCATCACTCCTCCCCCGCCAGTGGCTTCCCCCTCATCCCTGCTCCTCCTCCCCCTCCACGGCCGCCCCAGCCACACGCACACAAACACGCGCGCCAAACACACGCGCGCCGTCGCCAGAGAGGCTGGCCTTGCCCGGCAGCCCTGGGCCCCCTCATGGTGCGAGGAGCCTTGGGAATGCGCACCTTCAGGCGCTGTGGAGGGACAGGAGAGGCCCCGGGAGAGTCTGCCCGTGCCGCCCTCTCTGCTGCCTGTCTCTTGTCGGAAGGGGGCTGCGGGTGGTCTTTCTTCCGCCGCAGAAGCGCTGCGGAGGAGGCCTGGCGGGGGCAGTGGCCGCCTCTTCTTTCTGTGTCCCCTGCTGAGCAACCAGGTGTATTTTGAGCAGGCAGTGTGGCCGCAAGTGAATTAACTCTGCACACTTTGGTCCTTCCAGGCAGCCTCTTGGGGAGAATTGAAGGCCAGCCACCTGGGTATGGGTGCCAGGCTGCCGAGCACAGGGCAGGGATGAGTCCCTGCACAGGTGTGCCCAGCCGAGCCCCTGGGTTCTGGTGTCAGGCCTTGTCACCCGCGAGCTGCTCCTGCTGTCGGAGGGGGGAAACATGGGTGTAAAGCAAGCTTGGCTTGTTTTTGATCAGGTTTCTCTGATGAACCCTTCCGCTCCCCCCGAAGTCTGACTACCTTTGTGCCATCGGCATGTGTCCGCCAGTCCGTTGTGCTGGCCGCATCCTGGGGGGCAGTTTCCTGCCCTGACGGGGGGTGGGGCGCTTTGTCAGGAGCAGCCGCGGGCTGAGGAGGGGTCTTTCGCGGTGAGCTATGTTTACATGACACAGCGTGCCAAAGTGACCGGCTTGGCTGCGTTCTTTTTTAGTCATCGGGACGACCCCACCCTCCTACTCCTGTTTTTGAAGCCAAAACCCTTTCCTAAAAGCCCTTCGAGCAAAGCGTGACCGTCCGTTGCCGTCTCTGTGGTGGTCCTCTCTTACGTCTTCATCAAAGCTAAAATGATGGCATCTGTGAGTATGTTTTGCAGATTCAAAATATAGTTTGGTAATTTTTTTTCCAGTTGACTTTTAAAAAGAACTGCTGTACAGAGCTTGTACTTTGTCCATTTTATAGATGGAAACCATCCTTGAAAATTGTTTAACTTAAATAAAGAAAAGACACTTTATAGATAACGCCCTCTGGCGGTGACTGCGGTCTTCCTTGGGCCTCCTGGGGTGAGGGGAGAGGGCTGAGGACTGAGAGTAGGGTCTCCCTCCGGGGCTTCTGCTCGCTGAGCCGACCGCACGCTTGCATTTTATAGCTACTGGGGTCCTGCTGCGCCTGACTACCCACCTGGAGGCAGCCCTGGCCTCCTGCGCTTCAAACCGGGGGGCCAGAAATTCTTAAGTGTTTAAAATGTACATACCTGTTTACCAGTTATCTGGGACCCTCCAGTTCCACCCGAGGGTCGCTGAGGTTCTTCAGATCCCTTTTAAAGTACCCACGTTGGAGCCAGGTGTGGTGGCACGCACCTGTAATCCCAGCTACTCAGGAGACCAAGGCGGGAGGATTGCATGAGTCTAGGGAGAACAGCCTGGGCAACACAGCGAGACCCCATCTCAAAAAAATAACGAGAGGTGAGTGGATTGCCTGAGCCCGCAGGTTCGAGACCCAACTGGGCAACTTGGCGAGACTCATCTCTACGATAAATCAAAATCCAACCGGGCATGGTAGCACGTGCCTGCAGTTCCAGCGACTTGGGAGGCTGAGGCGGAAGGATCGCCGGAGCCCAGCAGGTCGAGGCTGCGGTGGCCGGGAGTGGCCACTGTGCTCCAGTCTGGGTGACAGAGTGAGACTCCAACTCTAAATAAATAAATAAATACATAAATACATAAATAAATTATATAAATAACAACGAGCTGGGCTCTGTGGCTCAGCCTGTAATCCCGTGCCTTGGGAGGCTGAGGTGAGTGGAATGCCTGAGCCCGTGGGTTTGAGACCCGCCTGGGCAACTTGACAAGACCTCATCTCTACAATAAATAAAAAAATCAGCCGGGCATGATAGCGTGCACCTGTAATTCTGGCTACTGGGAAGGCTGAGGCGGAAGGTTCACGGGAGCCCAGCAGATCGAGGCTGTGGTGGCCGGGAGCAGCCACTGCACTCCATCTGGGCGACAGAGTGAGACTCTGACTTAAAAGTAAATAAATAAATAACGAAAACATCTACATTGGAACAAAAGGAAACATAACGTTGACCAGTTACGCTAGCAATTTTAATTGCGAGTAGGCTGGGGTGGAGGGGCTGAAAGGATCCACTCAGGTGAGTATCTGGAAACTTCTGGAGAACATGTATTCTCTTTCCCTGTTATTTGAGACACCAAAAATGTGGCTTTGCTGTCATCTGAGAAACAAAAGAAACGCGTAGCATGATTCTGGAGTATCCACCAGAGCCTTTAGGGATCCTCTGTGTGGTTCTTGGGTTGGCAACCGGAGAAGTTTATTCACTGAGGAACTATTTGTGGAGGAACTCTCTCGGTTGCACTGATAGTCCTGAAGAAGACCCAGGGCAGGGAAGAAACGTGTGACACGCCAACCGAGGGATGCGCGGAATGCCCTGCGGCCTCCTAGCGGGGAGGGGTGCGCTTGAGCCGTGCCTGGAAGATGCCACGGGATTTGGACACAGAGGAGGGAGGGCGCTCCAGGCAGGGAGACCAGCCGCTGGGAGGTCTGAGCCTCTGAGACTTAGCAAAAAGCACACCTGGTAGGAACACCAGGAGGAAGCGGAGAGCCGGGCTGGAGCAGGTTGTCAGGAGGAGGAGGGTCGGATGTGTGATGCTTTTCGGGATAAAATGTCTCATCTAGCTCAGCTATTGGACTCTGTAGTGTGACTTCGTATTTTAAAAAACACTCAGCCAGAAAAATTAAATCTCTTCATGCGCTCTTCTGTCATGGACTTACCTGGAAAAGAAAAGAAAAATTCTCTTCCTGGAAGTCCTCACGTCTTTCTTGTCGGTTTCCTGGCAACGCAGCGGATGTGCATTTGATTTTCTGTGTTGTGCACCTGCAGATAGCAGACATCATATTTCCAAAAGACTTGGTGTCCTGGGTTCCAGAGAAGTAAAGAAGAGTGCTCACCCTGCGGTTGCCGCCTGGGCTCGCAGGGCCAGGCCAGGCGCGATGGGCAGGGGCCCACGGTATGAGGAGAGACGACTGCAGTCCTTGCCTGAGGTGGCACCTGTGGGGAGTCAGGCTGGACCAGACTGAACGCATTTCTGATGAGCTTGAGAAGCACTAGCCAGGCCGGGCGCGATGGCTCAGCCTGTCATCCCAGCACTTTGGGAGGCCGAGGTGAATGGATTGCCTGAGTCCGCGGGTTCGAGACCCGCCTGGGCAACTCAGCGAGATCTCGTCTCTACAATGAATCAAAAATTAGCCGGGTGTGGTAGCATGCACCTGTAGTTCCGGAAGACTATGGCAGTAGGATCACCGGAGTCCAGCAGGTCGAGGCTGCGGTGGCCATGAGCCTGCCACTGCACTCCAGCCTGGGTGACGGAGTGAGACTCCAACTCAAAAAAAAAGCAGTAGCCATGGAATGGTTTCCACCTCAGTAATAAAGATAGTCCCAGAGAACTCCTGGCCTCCTGCAGGTTATGTCAAGGACCCTGGGATCACCATGGGAGCATCACAGATGTGAGGATTTGGAGGGGCTGATTCAGACCCCCCAAAGAACCCAGAAGCTAGTTTTCCTCATTACCCTTGATCGGGGGAATTCTCTGTT